ATGCAGAAGCCAGAGTCTTCAAATATTTGCCCACAGACATCCAAAGATGCAATGGTCTCTCGCCCATCCCCTCCCACCCTATCTGGCATCTTTCTTCATATTTATCCCCTCTACATGCTTTGCAAAAGGCTCCCACCTTTTCTGCATTTTCTAGTCAGGACATAAAGAAAACAGCCTCACCAGTAGTCACCTGATTTGTGTGAGGACTTGAACTCCCTGCTGAGCATTCAGTGGAAGTAAGCCAGGACTAGAGGGCAGGGGGTCCAGGGTCTGGTCCCAGGTCCATCACTGTATCACAGTGTAGCTGTCACCTTTCTGGCCCTGAAACTCTTCCTCTATGGATAGGAGTACAAATGTACTCTGCCTCAGTTGCAGGTGGTCAGTACAGAGTGAAATCATACAATAGTTAAAAGGTTATACCAGGGGGAGAGGGAGGAGGGAGGGAGGTTTCGGTGATGGGACATAATAATCAACTACATTGTATATTGACAAAATAAAAATATTAAATAAAATAAAATAAAATAAAATAAAAGGTTATACCAGTACAAGGCTGTTATTTGTTGTATAAATAGAAATCTATCAAATGATATATCCTTGCCCAGCAAGTGCCAGAGAGCTCAGCTATAGAAAACAGCCACACCTGTGAGAAAGTTTCCACTAGCAGCAGCCTTTGTCACAGTCCCCAGCTGGAAATGACCTACATTTTCAATCAATACATACATGGAGATACATGCATTCAGTGGGCTACAATACAGCAGTAAAAATGAGCAAACTGAAGCTTCACACAACAGTATGAATAAATCTCACAAACATCAAGTTGAATAAAAGAAGCAAGTCACAAAAAAGACATATAGTATGATTCTACTTACATAACATTCAAAATCAGGCAAAATTAAACCATATTGCTGAGGGATGTATCTATGTGGGTAAATCTGTAAAGAGAAGCCTTCAGATTATTATCACAGAAGTCAGAATAGCTGGTACCTCCTTTGGGGGAGGAGAGGGTAAGGGGTCACATCTGGGCAGGGCATGGGGAGAAGGGCTGCTGGGGAGTTGGCCCCCCATGTTTCTTGCCTTGAATGAGTTCCATCTGTGTTCACTTTACAGATATATGTTTAAGATTGTCTTCTGGATATATGATCTATCTCATGATTTTAAAAATTAAAGCATCTGAAATCAACAGGGAGGGACCCAAAATTAGAATAATGGTCTCAGAGATCTATCTCCTCAATTATATACATATGGAGACTGAAGCCCAGAGAGGTTGGGAGGTTTACTCAAGGTCACAGAGCATGTTCTTAGCCGAACTGGAACTAGGAGACAACTCCTAACTCAGTGTTCCTCTTGCCACTTCCATCTTTCTGGCAAGGTCTCTTCTTTAGGGGAAGGCAAGGGAGGAGCACAGCTTTTAAGCCTGGGAGTTCCCTCATTTTTTGAAAAAGAAAAAGGGATACTTGGCGAGCTGATAAAATAAAGAGCTGGTATAAATGCTGAGGCTTGTAAACACTTTTCAAATGGAATTTTAAAAAGATTTTAATATGGCCCCCCAAATCATAATAATGATTATGATAACCATAATAATGATAACATTTCAAAAAAATAAATACCAGGAATCTCTGGCAACTCTGCGATCTAGAGTTAGACTCATGCTCCATCTGATTTGCAGATGGTATGGAATGGAGCTGTGTTGAAGGGGGTGTATGGGGGGAGGGAGGTAAGAAGGACAGGGAGCCAGGAAGTCTGCAATTTTATTGACTTATCCACCTGGCCTAGGTGAGACCCCTAGCCCTGGGACAGGCAGGACAGGAACCTCGGCTATCTCTCTGAGAGCTTTTCTGTTTTGTTTAGAGGTCAATTACTTCCCATTTGGGGGACTTGTGAACATTAAGAGGTGACGGGAGTGACGGGGCTGAAGGAGGCAGATAAGAGACTGATTACTTGCAGAGCGGCTCCCTGGTAAAAGCCCTGCTGAGGATAAGCAGTTGTCGGCAGGAGACACACAAAAGGGCCAGCTTTCAGGGCAGGGGAGAGATTACAGAGATGGAAGACGGGCAGCCTGGAGTGGGCTTTAAGAGCTGGGAGAGGGATGCGTTTTAAAGTGATCCTGACAGCAAGAGAGTGGGGAGATGGGAGAAAAGAGTTTTCCTTCAGGAAAGAAATTTTCCTGTCATGTGAATCTCAGACTTCCTCACTGTGGTCTAAAGAAAAAGCCATGTGGATTGCACATGGACAAAGTTTTTTGTTTTGTTTTGTTTTTTAAAGCCAGTGAAATATAGATGCCACAGCAATCTGGGGAGCATAACAAAAAATGTGGCAGGTCAGTGGAACAGCTACAGGCTCTTGGGTGCACATGTAAGCGATACCCCCTCCCACCTCCCACACCCACCCCTTCAGTCAACTGAATGCAGTTTACAAATTCCTAGAAGCTAGCCTGGAATTGCATTGCAAACTGCTATAAAAATATAATGCTGGCTTTGGCGTGTGCCCATGTACTTTTCTCCATTCCAAAGTCCTGGACCTTTTCTGGAATGACTCCCAGTAATTAGTATCATTCCCACACTAATCACCAAGCTTAACCCACTTCTTCTGTGCAGCCTCCCCTAAGCACTCCAGCTCACACTGGATTTTCTTTTTCTAGAGAGAGAGCTTATTGTCTGTCCTATTTGACATGCAGCATGTACCACTTTGTATTTTTAGATACCTTTCTCATGTTGATCTTTGCTATCCAACTAGATAATAAATTTCCTAAGGGCAGCAGTCAAATCTTATTTTCTCTTGTTTCCCTACTCAGAATGTTCACTGATGACTGAGTTAGCGATGATTGAACTGAGCCTCTCTCTTTCCACCTTCACTCTGAGCCTTGACCACAAGCATCCCTTGTCTTGCCTGGCTTCTCCATGTGGCACACAAAGATGTGGACAGGGCGTAGGAGTTGTTTACCCACCCTAACTCAGGAGGCAAGGGCTATTTAAAACACTGCATGCCTGGTATAGCTTCTTCTGTTACGTTTCTATGGTAGAAGGGTGTGAGAGGAAGAAGGAAATGACATTTGTTAATTTCCTACTCTGTTCCAATACTTTGTAGACACACGCCATGATGACCTACATTCTCAAAGGATTTTTTTAAAAAAAAATTAACAAACACTATTTTAGAATCTAATCTTAGAAAAATTTAAGACAATTTACCCAGAGCCAGACAGACTGTAACTCACTGGCAGCATTGGGCTGAAACTTACCTGTCAGGAATCTAAGGTCAGTGTCTAAGAGTAACTTCCCCACTTGAAAAAAATAACCTCCAAAATGAAAGAATGGTAACACCATATGATAATTCTCTTCTGATGGAGATTTTAACTGTAATCTCTATTTTTTTTTCTCAGTTTAGTATCAAAGGATACTTATTGAGATTTCCAAATTCAAAGGATACATACTGTGTTTTTTTAATCCCAGGGGCACAACACTAACTATAACTGAAAGACACTGTGAGGTGTTTCTAAATACACTTTTATTAGCAATAAGAATGGAGAAATAAACAGGATGAGAACAAATAGGAGGGAAAATGTAAGGAGATGGTAGTAAGAAAAAAATATGAACAAAAACTTTTTTTTTTTTTAGCTTAAACACATAAGCTTTAAGGCATGTACACTGTCAATAGTCAGGTATAGTTTACAAAGACTCAAGCAGTCTGTTTCCCATTTTAGTAAAAAGAAAAAAAACAGGGCATATTCAGAGTGGAGAAACTGCAGGGGAAATACATTTTAATTAAATATGAGATTTTATTAAATAAAATTTAACCTTTGATAAGTCAGTGGTTCAAGGAAATGAAGAACCAGAGTTTTTACTGTCTAAAAATGTAAGGGTGGGGGAATGCCAGATTTTCCTACTAAATTTCTTACTAAATTTGTCCTGCCAATGACTAATTTCCTACTTAATCCCATGTTCCCATAACAAAATGAGTCTCTTTTCACTACCCAGTTTTTGTGACCTCAGACATACTGGGAGTGGAGATGTCAAATTTTCAAAATTTTAGGAAGCCTAAAGTTTAGGCTTTCCACCCATCTTTGGAAGGACTTAGGGCCACGTGGGACCTCCCTTACTGATGTGGATGGAATTTAGAAACATTATGTTCTGGAAGAAAACCTACACAGAGGGAATGGGAGTATGAGAGAAGAACTCTGGTAATCTACCTCCAGGGCTGAATCAGTTTTGTCTCCCTAGAATGTCTGGGCTTTGTTTTTACATTAATTCCAAGTTGTTTAGAGGTAACCGAAAGAATAGGTTCTAATGGCCTAACACACGCAAATGCACACCAATATATTTAGCATATTTACTCGAGGTGCTGGCTGTACATAAGTGACACTGAGAGCAGAACCAGAATGTAGTGGTTACCTCCTGCAGAGCAATCGTGGCCAGAAAAGGGCGCGCCGCTGGACAACCACAGTCCCCAGGAGCGCAGACGTCCGGGAGGTTTAAACCCCACAGGAGGGCGTGGCTCGCAGCTGTAGCCTCTTCTGAACCGCCGGGATCCTCCCTCCTCTGCCCCGCTCTTCATCTCCCTTCCCCCCACCTGTTGCCTTTAATTGGAGGATGGAGGTCCTCTAGATCACCCTTCTCCCTAGTCTACCCGTCAATGCTCCGGGGCTGCTGCACGGAAATTAAAGACCCTCTCAGCCCCCTGTGGTTGAAGCCCCAAGTCACCTGCGTCAGTTCTGCTCTGACACCTGAAACTGCCAACCACCCTCGGTTTTCTTCCCTCCCTGTGCTGTTTTGTGGGCGTCTGGCGAAGGTGCCGCGTTACGTCTCTCGGGGGAAGAACATCGCCAGGGCCTTCAGTCGGTTGGCTCTATAGGGGCAGTTCGCAGTCCCAGAGATGGCTCTGGGGAGAAGCACCATCGGGTCGCCGCTTGCCTCCACGGCGGCGGCCCCTTGTCCCGGCTGTACCTGCGGTCGGAGGGGAAGGGGCCGAGTACCTCTCTCTGGTGGGCGTAGCTGAGCCGAGGCACCTCACCAGGCCCTGACGCCCTGCATTGTGGCAGGCAGATGGCTCTGCGGGGTGGCGCTCGGGCCGCTGTGGCCGAAGCCTGCTCCTGCCAGGGGTGTGGGTGGCACTGGGCCCGGGGTCACGCCTGAGTAGCCGCTGCCGTAGCCCGCGCCGTAGGGGGCGCTCGAGTAGCCGCCGTAGCAGGAATAGGGGGTCGCCGGCGCTCCGTAGGGGCCAGGGAAGGCGGGCGCGCTGGGGCCCAGGCAGGGCTTGCCGTCGCGCACCAGCACTGGCACCGCCACCCGGCGCGGCGCTAGAGGGTGGCCGGCCAGTTCCAGAGACTTGTCCTGGCGCTGCCTCTTGCACTTGTAGCGCCGGTTCTGGAACCAGATCTTGACTTGCGTGGACGTGAGCTGCAGCGCGCTGGCCAGGTGCTCGCGCTCGGGCGCCGACAGGTACCGCTGC